TTGTGACCCCCCCCCCTCACACACTCGTGCGTGCGGTGGTCCACATGTCTTGTGACCCCCCCCCCAAACACTCGTGCGTGCGCTGGTCCACATGTCTTGTGACCCCCCCCCACACACTTTCTCGTGAGGGCGGTGGTCCACATGTCTTGTGACCCCCCCCCCCCCCCACACACTCTCTCGAGAGGGCGGTGGTCCACATATCTTGTGACCCCCCCCCCCTAACACACACACAATCGTGTGGGCGGTGGTCCAGATGTCTTGTGATCCCCCCCAACACACCAAAAGACACTCTCGTGAGGGTGAGGGTCCACATATCTTGTGACCCCCCCACCCCCACACTCGTGCGCGCGGTGGTCCACATGTCTTGTGATATCCCCCCCCCCCCACACCAACACACACACTCGGGCGGTGGTCCACATGTCTTGTGACCCCCCCCCCCCCACACACTCTCTCGTGCGAGCGGTGGTCCACATGTCTTGTGACCCCCCCCCCCCCACACACTCGTGCGTGCGGTGGTCCACATGTCTTGTGCCCCCCCCCCCCCCCCCCTCACACACTCGTGCGGGCGGTGGTCCACATGTCTTGTGACCCCCCAACCCACACCAACACACACACTTGTGCGTTAAGTGGTCCACATGTCTTGTGACCACCCACACACACTCTCTCGTGAGCGCGGTGGTCCACATGTCTTGTGACCCCCCCCCAACACTCGTGCGGTCAGTGGTCCACATATCTTATGACCCCCCCCCCCCCACACTCGTGCGGGCGGTGGTCCACATGTCTTGTGACCCCCCTTCCCACACACTCGTGCGTGCGGTGGTCCACATGTCTTGTGACCCCCCCCCCCACACACTCTCTCGTGAGGGCGGTGGTCCACATATCTTGTGACCCCCACCCCTATCACACACACAATCGTGCGGGCGGTGGTCCAGATGTCTTGTGACCCCCCCCACCACACTCGTGCGGGCAGTGGTCCACATGTCTTGTGAACCCCCCCACCACACTCGTGCGGGCAGTGGTCCACATGTCTTGTGACCCCCCCCCACACTCGTGCGGGCAGTGGTCCACATGTCTTGTGACCCACCCCCCTCACACACTCGTGCGTGCGGTGGTCCACATGTCTTGTGACCACCCACACACACTCTCTCGTGAGCGCGGTGGTCCACATGTCTTGTGACCCCCCCCCCCTCACACACTCGTGCGGGCAGTGGTCCACATGTCTTGTGACCCCCCCCCAACACTCGAGCGGTCAGTGTTCCACATTTCTTGTGACCCCCCCCCCCCTCACACACTCGTGCGTGCGGTGGTCCACATGTCTTGTGACCCCCCCCTAACACACACACAATCGTGCAGGCGGTGGTCCAGATGTCTTGTGACCCCCCCCAACACACCAAAACCCACACTCGTGCAGGCGGTGGTCCACATGTCTTGTGACCCCCCCCCCCCCCTCACACACTCGTGCGGGCGGTGGTCCACATGTCTTGTGACCCCCCAACCCACACCAACAATCACACTCGTGCGTTAAGTGGTCCACATGTCTTGTGACCACCCACACACACTCTCTCGTGAGCGCGGTGGTCCACATGTCTTGTGACCCCCCCCAAAACTCGTGCGGTCAGTGGTCCACATGTCTTGTGACCCCCCCCAACACTCGTGCGGTCAGTGGTCCACATGTCTTGTGGCTCCCCATCCCACACCAACACACACACTCGGGCGGTGGTCCACATGTTTTGTGACCCCCCCCCCCCCACACACTCGTGCGTGCCGGTGGTCCACATGTCTTGTGACCCCCCCCCCACACACACTCGTGCGTGCGGTGGTCCACATGTCTTGTGATATCCCCCCCCCCCCCCACACCAACACACACACTCGGGCGGTGGTCCACATGTCTTGTGACCACCCACACACACTCTCTCGTGAGCGCGGTGGTCCACATGTCTTGTGACCCCCCCCCCTCACACACTCGTGCGGGCAGTGGTCCACATGTCTTGTGACCCCCCCCCAACACTCGAGCGGTCAGTGTTCCACATTTCTTGTGACCCCCCCCCCCCCCTCACACACTCGTGCGTGCGGTGGTCCACATATCTTGTGACCCCCCCCTAACACACACACAATCGTGCAGGCGGTGGTCCAGATGTCTTGTGACCCCCCCCCAACACACCAAAACCCACACTCGTGCAGGCGGTGGTCCACATGTCTTGTGACCCCCCCCCCCTCACACACTCGTGCGGGCGGTGGTCCACATGTCTTGTGACCCCCCAACCCACACCAACACACACACTCGTGCGTTAAGTGGTCCACATGTCTTGTGACCACCCACACACACTCTCTCGTGAGCGCGGTGGTCCACATGTCTTGTGACCCCCCCCAACACTCGTGCGGTCAGTGGTCCACATGTCTTGTGACCCCCCCCAACACTCGTGCGGTCAGTGGTCCACATGTCTTGTGGCTCCCCAACCCACACCAACACACACACTCGGGCGGTGGTCCACATGTTTTGTGACCCCCCCCCCCCCCCACACACTCGTGCGTGCCGGTGGTCCACATGTCTTGTGACCCCCCCCCCCCACACATACTCGTGCTTGCGGTGGTCCACATGTCTTGTGATATCCCCCCCCCCCCCCACACCAACACACACACTCGGGCGGTGGTCCACATGTCTTGTGACCCCCCACACACACTCGTGCGCGCGGTGGTCCACATGTCTTGTGACCCCCCCCTCCCCACACACTCTCTCGTGCGAGCGGTGGTCCACATGTCTTGTGACCCCCCCCCCCCACACACTCGTGCGTGCGGTGGTCCACATGTCTTGTGACCCCCCCCCCCCCCCCCCACACACTCGCTAGAGAGGGCGGTGGTCCACATGTCTTGTGACCCCCCCCCCTCACACACTCGTGCGTGCGGTGGTCCACATGTCTTGTGACCCCCCCCCCAAACACTCGTGCGTGCGCTGGTCCACATGTCTTGTGACCCCCCCCCACACACTTTCTCGTGAGGGCGGTGGTCCACATGTCTTGTGACCCCCCCCCCCCCCCCACACACTCTCTCGAGAGGGCGGTGGTCCACATATCTTGTGACCCCCCCCCCCCTAACACACACACAATCGTGTGGGCGGTGGTCCAGATGTCTTGTGATCCCCCCCAACACACCAAAAGACACTCTCGTGAGGGTGAGGGTCCACATATCTTGTGACCCCCCCACCCCCACACTCGTGCGCGCGGTGGTCCACATGTCTTGTGATATCCCCCCCCCCCACACCAACACACACACTCGGGCGGTGGTCCACATGTCTTGTGACCCCCCCCTCCCCACACACTCTCTCGTGCGAGCGGTGGTCCACATGTCTTGTGACCCCCCCCCCCCACACACTCGTGCGTGCGGTGGTCCACATGTCTTGTGACCCCCCCCCCCCCTCACACACTCGTGCGGGCGGTGGTCCACATGTCTTGTGACCCCCCAACCCACACCAACACACACACTTGTGCGTTAAGTGGTCCACATGTCTTGTGACCACCCACACACACTCTCTCGTGAGCGCGGTGGTCCACATGTCTTGTGACCCCCCCCAACACTCGTGCGGTCAGTGGTCCACATGTCTTGTGACCCCCCCCAACACTCGTGCGGTCAGTGGTCCACATGTCTTGTGGCTCCCCAACCCACACCAACACACACACTCGGGCGGTGGTCCACATGTTTTGTGACCCCCCCCCCCCCCACACACTCGTGCGTGCCGGTGGTCCACATGTCTTGTGACCCCCCCCCCCACACATACTCGTGCGTGCGGTGGTCCACATGTCTTGTGATATCCCCCCCCCCCCCCACACCAACACACACACTCGGGCGGTGGTCCACATGTCTTGTGACCCCCCACACACACTCGTGCGCGCGGTGGTCCACATGTCTTGTGACCCCCCCCTCCCCACACACTCTCTCGTGCGAGCGGTGGTCCACATGTCTTGTGACCCCCCCCCCCCCCCCACACACTCGTGCGTGCGGTGGTCCACATGTCTTGTGACCCCCCCCCCCCCCCCACACACTCGCTAGAGAGGGCGGTGGTCCACATGTCTTGTGACCCCCCCCCCCTCACACACTCGTGCGTGCGGTGGTCCACATGTCTTGTGACCCCCCCCCAAACACTCGTGCGTACGGTGGTCCACATGTCTTGTGACCCCCCCCCACACACTTTCTCGTGAGGGCGGTGGTCCACATGTCTTGTGACCCCCCCCCCCCCACACACTCTCTCGAGAGGGCGGTGGTCCACATATCTTGTGACCCCCCCCCCCCTAACACACACACAATCGTGTGGGCGGTGGTCCAGATGTCTTGTGATCCCCCCCAACACACCAAAAGACACTCTCGTGAGGGTGAGGGTCCACATATCTTGTGACCCCCCCACCCCCACACTCGTGCGCGCGGTGGTCCACATGTCTTGTGATATCCCCCCCCCCCCACACCAACACACACACTCGGGCGGTGGTCCACATGTCTTGTGACCCCCCCCCCTCCTCCTCCTGCACCACCAGCTCTTCCACCAGGGTCTCCTCCTCCTGCACCACCAGCTCTTCCACCAGGGTCTCCTCCTCCTGCACCACCAGCTCCTCCACCAGGATCTCCTCCTCCTGCACCACCAGCTCCTCCACCAGGGTCTCCTCCTCCTGCACCAACAGCTCCTCCACCAGGGTCTCCTCCTCCTGCACCAACAGCTCCTCCACCAGGGTCTCCTCCTCCTGCACCACCAGCTCCTCCACCAGGGTCTCCTCCTCCTGCACCACCAGCTCCTCCACCAGGGTCTCCTCCTCCTGCACCACCAGTTCATCCACCAGGGTCTCCTCCTCCTGCACCAACAGCTCCTCCACCAGGGTCTCCTCCTCCTGCACCAACAGCTCCTCCACCAGGGTCTCCTCCTCCTGCACCAACAGCTCCTCCACCAGGGTCTCCTCCTCCTGCACCACCAGCTCCTCCACCAGGGTCTCCTCCTCCTGCACCAACAGCTCCTCCACCAGTCTCCTCTTTCTCCACAACAACCGTCAGCCATTTAGAGGCCTGGGTGAGCGCGGAGGATGGGGGCAGCGCCGGCTCCGCTCTGTAAAAAGATGCGCACGACACCTTTCCAACTTCCTGCTACAGCAGAGATCGCACTCCCCCCCCACCATCGTGCAGAGATAGATTAACCAGGTTAATAACGATGCTGCAGTAACGCAGCATACCTTTGCCCATCGTGGGTCTGGTTACAAAATGGGCATTAGTCTTAAGATATCACACTGGATGAAAGGCTACATGGCAAAGATATGGCTGCTTCATTATTTGTCCTCACCCAGAAACCAATTATAAAAATACATCCGTATATAACCGAATGTACACGTGGGGTTTGAACTGTACATGTGTTCGTTTGCAGGCGGCAGGGCTGGAACTCACAGAGGGACCTGGGTTTGATGCCCAAACTTGGGCCACTTTCTCCGTGTAGAATGTGGAGTGTGTTCTACCCCCCCCCCCCGTTTTATCCTGCATTGGTTTCCAAAATCAGAATAAATTATTTAGACTGGATGAAGAGGAATCCGATAAGCTATGAAGCTCTTCTTTCACAGATATGCAGTCGAGGCACAGGGTCAGCAAGTTACAACAACAAACAAAAGAAAATGAGTGCAAAGTGTAAAAATGTAAGGAAGTCACAAAATAACTGAGCATATAAGCACAAAGTACGTAAAATCCTGCCAGTTTTTCAACACTAAATACAAATTTAGGGGTTGTTACGGGAAGAAAGGCGGACAAACACAAGGGTGTCTGGACCCACACACGGGTGTCTACATCCACGTCCGCATCGGTTAACCCTGGGGGGGCATGGGGGCGTTGTGATCCCCCATAGCCCCACCCCTCGGAGAGGATTCTTATAAAAGGCGGGGAGCCAGAGGGCTCGAGGCCAGTGTGTTAGACGCTTACCAGAAAAGACTGAAGACCGGCAGAATAGGCCCTGGAACTCCCCTGGCTCGCTGTCCTTGTCAGGGCCGAGCAGGGCAAGTGGCGCGGCGCCAAGAGCTCCAGGACCGCAGCTCTTGAAAGAGCACGGCCTGGTTAGCTGGGTGACGGGATCCGTGCTTGACCAGGGCCGGATCAGATAGCCTCCCCTAGCACTCATAGCGGAGGACTGGGAATAGGAGAAGTCAGGGGATAGTGCTAGGGGTGTTTCCCATTGAGTACGGGTGAAGGGGCCATTACCCCTTCAAGTATTGTTACCGCCTTTTGGTTAAATAAAAGAGTGTGCCTCAACTACGTCGTCTGTCTCCCTGAGAACTCACTACACTTGTATAAGTGTAGTGTATCGTGTCGTGTATAGTGTAGTGTGTAGGTTAAATGTTGAGTTTTATAAGGGCACCACGGGGTGACTAGCCCCTCCCCACCCAGCCCCACCCCCCACCCAGCCCCTCCCCTCCTCCCCCAGCCCCTCCCCACCCTCCCCTCCCTCAGCCCCTCCCCACCCTCCCATCTCCACCCAGCCCCACCCCTCCCACCCCCACCCTCCCCTCCTCATGCACGACAGACAAATAATCCCTGGTGGGCAGTGTGGAACCTGTTGTTCCTACCGGTATAACAGTGGGAAATATCTGAACCGGTCCTGGGCCTCCCATTGGTCGACTCAGCCTCAAATGAGTACCTGATGCAGTGTGTACATATCACCACGAGGGAGACAAATGTGTGGTGTTGGCCACCCACTCCCCTGTGTACTGTGCCAGTCCTCTGTAGGTCCTCACTAACACCACTTGCCTCAAAAATCTGTTAAGGCTATGAGGGGGGATCTTTGTCTTTGTACAGTGGCATTGGCTACGTATTAACTGATACTTTGCACGGAGTTTATGATACAACATAGCCTATGTGTAACGCATCATATACCGTGTACACAGCACCATGAAAGTGTGTGCCGTATAATACAGAGTATGTGTAAAGGAGTATAGCCTGTGCACGCACTGCAGCGTTACTTTGAACTGAAACGTGGCATGGCCGTTATGTGTAGAACAGCATTTCTTGTATATATGTAGTGGGTTCCCACGGAGACTGGAGACGTAGCTTAGAGGCAACACGGTTTATTTAAATCTTATGACAGAAGTCCCTTTTACTCCCACTACTTGGGGAGGTATGGCCTCCGGGTTAACGTGCCCTATCACTGGGGCTATGGGCTCTGAGTCCTCCGACTAAGGGTGGCCTCGGGGAGGCTATGCTGACCCGACCCAGCCAAGGTGCGGGTCTCAACCACTGGTCCGTGCTCGGCCCCGCCCCTTAAAAGGACGTCGGGTCCCGGGGTCCCAGGGTCCCAGGGTCCCAGGGTCCTAGCCTAGCCGGTCTTCAGTCTTCGTCTTCAGAGCACTGCCTCGGGCCGTCCTGGGGTCCGTCTTTTATACCCACCTTGGGGACTCTCCACCCCCGGTACCGCCCCCTTTCTGGAACCTTCAAGGTGGCTCTGGAATAACCCCTCGGGATCGGGGGGGGGGGAACTCGGCCTCTCAACGGTCCCGGTTCTCTCTCTAACTCACGGTGGCACCCCCTGCAGACTCGTGCCCGCAACTACAGGTGGTGTGTGCTTTGCATTTCCGACGCTACATATACAGCAAGAAATACTCTACATAGAGAGAGCATGGCATCTGTGTGTGTGTACTGCATGACACACGGTGTACGGTGTGTAATCCACAGTGATGGGCTGCTGCTGCTGCACCTGTTGACGTTGATGTCGGGGCAGGCAGAGTCCTCGCTCCGGGTCCCGGTGGCGTTGCTCCGGGGGAACGTGCAGAAGAAGGCGTTGGCCAGGAGGCAGGCGGCCTGCTCCTGAGACATCGTCAGCATCAAGCCGGTGTCCCGGCGGAGCAGCGGCAGGGGCTGGGGACACGTGCGGTGCACAGGGCGCAGCGACGTCACACGCGGCAACGGGTGGCACGGGGTTGCAGAGGAGCAACGGCGCAATGGTAACACCAATGCAGAGCACTGAGCCTGCAGCACTGGGATGCTGGGGTCTGGATCAAGGAGTTCTGAAATGCACGTAAACCAGATGATTGTTGTACACGTGAGGTTAATGCTGCAGCCCTGCAATTACTTGCTCATGCAACTGCTGGTGAAAGAACCTCCACTAGAGGGAGGTCTAGAGTGCCGATCCGGTGGGTATGTTTTGGCCAACTTTTCCACACTGACCATTCGTCTTGAAAGAGGTGGGAGTACTCGCCATTTAGCCCACTGCACGCGACCCACCGATGGACTGTGGGTGGACAAAACAGGGAATTGTAAGAATCCTGGTCAATGTTTTCAAGGCCAGGCTGGGAGATCGAACCGCGACATTTGAAGTCAATCGTGACAACCATCCCACAGTTATGGCAGCAGCCCTTTTGCAGAAATAAAATAAAATATTGGAGAGGGCTTCACACAAGAAACAAGAAGATTTAGGGGTTTGGACGTGGCTCTCCAATGAGTACACATAGGGTACCAAAAGTAGCGGTGCATACTCGGGTGCAAAGAAATAGAAGCAGAGACAAAGAATGAGATAGATCGATGCAATAAAGAATTGGCAGTGGTGCACCAAGCACGACCCCTTGCTGAGCGCTGCAGCAGCAGCCCCCCCCCCACCCCCGGACCCCTCCCCCACCCTCCACTTCTCACCCTGACGCCACACAACCCGTGGGTAGGCGATGCCCTCTGGTGGACAAGGCGCGGTACAGGCGGCAGCACGAGACGCCAGCAGCGTTGCGCTGCCAGGGTTACTCACCCGAACACCTCCGTACACTTACACACACCTACACACACCTCTATACACCTCTATACACTCACACACACCTACACACTTACAAAGACAAAGATCCCCCGTATAGCCTTAACAGACTGTAGAGGCAAGTGCTGTTAGCGAGCACCTATGAAGGCCGGAACGGTACACGAGGGGGTGGGTGGCCAGCACCACGCCCGACCGCCTTTGTCTCCCCAGTGGCGATGTTTACACACCGCACCAGGTACTCATTTAAGGCTGCGTCGACCTAGGGGAGGCCCAGGACCGGTTCAGATAATCGTCACTGGTGTTAGCCGTGAGTGGGAATCGAACCCGGGTCGCCAGGTTCATAGCGCAGCGCGCTAACTGCTACACTACCGCTCCCCACACACCTACACGCACACACCTCTACACACTTACACACCTACACACACACACCTATACAACAACAACCGCCATTCGCCACTAAGTGGCGGTGACGTCACCACGACGCTTGTGCCAGGCCAAGTGCACCTTGAGGCCACGTGAAGTGTCGAACGCCCGCTGGCAGGAGGTCACGGGGCAGACCCAGCAGGTGCCACGGGTCGACTGACCGAGATGACCGAGATGACTGGCTGATGCACCACCTGTGGCCCCCTACCGTACCAACTTGCTGTGCTTTAGCCACCCGGCGCTCCGCTCGTTGTTGTGAACGTCGCTCCTCAGCCCTCCGTTGTTGTTGGAGGGCGACTGCCTCCAACTGCCCAGTAGCGTCCTTCACGAGCCTCCTCCACTGAGGCCGATCTTGACACTGCTGGTACCAGTCATCGGCAAGTCCACTCAGCTCCACGTCCTCCTGTACCACATCACTCCATCTCTTCTCTAGCCCGCGCCGCGCCCGTTTAGCCCCCTCGATTTTAGGCATGCGGTAGCTGGGCATGCGTGCTACATGACCCAGCCAACGCAGCCTTGCCTGCCGGAGGAGCTCACCGATGGGACTTTGCCCAGATCTTTCAAGGATTTGTGAGCTCCTTACACAATCCAGCCTGGTTAAACCCAGGATGGATCGTAGGCAGGCCAGCCTAAATGTTTCCAACCGACGAAGTTGCTCCATTAGGGGGGTCCACGTTTCGCAAGCGTAGAGAAGGGAGGGAATGACCGTGGCCGAGAAGACCTGAAGCTTCGTGCGGAGGTAGCTTCCACACAGCGTTACGCAACCGATGAAAAGATAATGCCGCTCGACTGATTCGGAGTGAGACCTCTGCTGATAAACTGGAGCCGGTCATAAGCACACTGCCCAGGTATGGGAAACTCTCCACTCTCTCCACAACTGCCCCATCACCGATTGGGAGTTGTGGGGGTGGAGTGTCTGATGGTACAAAATACCCAGGCAGGTGCTTAGTTTTGGTGGGGCTGATGGTAAGGCCCCACCTCTTAGTGGCACGCTCCAGTTTCAGCAGCAGCGTCTCCAACTCCTCTTCTGAATGAGCAGCTATTACCAAATCATCGGCATACATAACGTGGTCGATCAGCCTCCCATTATATCTGTACCAAATGGAAATTCCCCCGGTACAGCTATTGAAGGCTTCACGAACTACGCAGTCGAAATAGATGTTAAATAATGTGGGAGCCTGAGGACATCCCTGTCGCACCACAAGGTGTACAGGGGAAGGCTCTGATTCCCGGCCACGTAGTTTTACCCGGGCCCGCTCACCATCATGAAGGTCCTTAATGATCGTGAGCAGAGGGTCAGGGACTCCGAAAGCACGAAGAACAACCCAGAGCCCAGGCCTACTGATTGTATCATAGGCCTTGACCAGGTCAATAAAGCAGAGATGAAGGTCTTGTTGGAATTCCCTACACCTCTGCTGTAGCAGACAGACAGAAAATATGGCATCTGTACAGGACCGCCCTTTCCTGAAACCGCATTGGAGTTCTGCAAGCCTCTCCTCAGCGTGCCGAGCAAGGCGATGTTGAATAATCCTTGCCAGGACCTTTCCCGGCACACTGAGGAGTGAGATGCCCCTGTAGTTGTTCCAGTCTGTGCGGTCCCCCTTCTTAAAGAGAGCCCAGGCCTACTGATGGTATCATAGGCCTTGACCAGGTCAATAAAGCAGAGATGAAGGTCTTGTTGGAATTCCCTACACCTCTGCTGTAGCAGACAGACAGAAAATATGGCATCTGTACAGGACCGCCCTTTCCTGAAACCGCATTGGGGTTCTGCAAGCCTCTCCTCAGCGTGCCGAGCAAGGCATCCTTCCAATCCTGCGGTACCCGTCCAGCGGTCCAGACTGTTGTTATGATGTCATATAGGGCAGTCTGTGCACAAGCGCCACCCTCCCTCAGCATTTCGCTTGGGAGATCATCTTTGCCCGGTGCCTTTCCTGGTCTCAGACTCCGGATCGCCTTCAGTACTTCCTCAACAGATGGCACCTCAGCCAGCCACTCACAGGGGGTGACCTCCTCCAATATTTGAGGCACCGCAGCCTCAGCAGGGTTATCCCCACTTTGTGCCATGATGTTTTCCTGGCTGAGAGATTTTCCCTCCCCCAGGACCTCACACACACCTATATACACTTACACACACACCTCTATACACTCACACACACCTACACACACACCTCTAGACACTTAGACACACCTACACACACACCTCTATACACACACCTCTATACACTCTCACACACCTACACACACCTCTATACACTCACACACACCTACACACACCTCTATACACTCACACACACTGACACACACCTCTATACACTTACACACACCTACCACACACCTCTATACACCTAACACACTATACACACACCTCTATATACTTACAACAACCTACACACACACCTCTATACACTTACACCTACAACACACTCTATACACCTAAACACCTACACACACACCTCTATATACCTAAAAACCTACACACACACCTCTATACACGTACACACACCTACACACACACCTCTATACACTTACACACACACCTCTATACACCTAAACACCTACACACACCTCTATACCCTTACTCACACATACACGCAGGAGGAGGTGGTAGTGCGGGAACGAAAGGGCCTGGCTCGTGTGGCGAACGCGATCCATGCGCTCCTCCACAGCATGATGCTGTTTTGTTGCGACCGGTCGACCGCACAGTTGGGGTGATGGAGGTGGTGCGGTGCTTACCATGACCGCTATCACCACATGCACCACACCATCTACCCACCCACCCCGTGATACACACCACACACCCCACTCACACCACACACCCCACACACACCACTCACACCACACACACCACACACACCACTCACACCACACACACCACACACACCAGACACACCGCACACACCGCACACACACACCCACTCACACCCCTCATACCACTCACACTACACACACCACACACACCACACACACCACTCACACCACACACACCACACACACCACTCACACCACACACACCACACACACCAGACACACCGCACACACCGCACACACACACCCACTCACACCCCTCATACCACTCACACTACACACACCACACACACCACACACACCACTCACACCACACACACACACCACACGGTTCCCCGGAAAGACGGTGCCACTGGGACCGCAGCCAGGGAAGGAAACTGAGCAGCAGATGCCAGGACTGGACTGGACAATGACTGCTGCCAACAGACTAACTCTGTTCAGAGATAGGATCAATCCAATGTATTATGTAATACTTATCATTGTTGTTTTTATTATTAACGTCATGACATGAACTTATGAGGAAACAATGTAACTTTGCATTGCTTGTGAGTGCTGCCTGGGTTTGTTAAATGTGCCTTGGCTCGTGTGCAGTGTCCCGGCTGTGTGTGCGGCGGTACAATGACAACTATGTCATGAGAGAAGTTTCAGGCAATGGCCCTTCTTCAGAACGTGTACAGGCAGTGGTGGGAAAAGATAATCAGGCGATTCGTCTGACACATCCGCCCCCTAACTGCCCCACTGCCCCTCTGCCAAGCTGCTCCGCTGTCCTGCTGCCCCAATGCCCTCTGCCCCACTGCCCCACTGCCTCAATGCCCTTATGCTCCGCTGCTCCACTGCGCTGGTGCTACTCTGCCCTAATGCCCCGCTGTTCCATTGCCCCACTTTCCCACTGCCATCACATCCATCACGAAGCAGCGAGACGTCCACACCACCTCATTAAATATTACCCTGATGTACACGCAGAGAGAGAGAGACCCTCGTTAAACATTAAATACTGGAGGGGGCTGCTGTGATGCAATGGCTCGTAAAATTCACTGGCAATAGAGAGATTGCTGGTTCCACCTTCTGGCACAGCAGTTGAAACAAATGGTCGAGTACTAATAGGGGTTTTCCCATTTTTTCTGGCAACAAAACTGACACCTTTTGCAAGGCATCATGTTTACATTAACCACAATACTTGCAGTCAAATGTTGCCAGAAAAAAGGGGAAAATCCCTATTAGTTTATTTTGGTACTGGCAAAGGAGGTCCCAAAATGGTCGAGTATCTTAAGTTCCCCTGCCTCTGTCCGCCAAACAGTACAACTGGGTACACCAAAATCGAGTGGCAAGTTGGGTGGGTAGGTGCTGGATGAATTAGTGCATCGGTGTGTGGGTAATTGGATGAGTTGGTACCTGGGTAAGTGGATGGTAGGTGGTTGAATGGGTGTATGGGTAATTGAATGAGTGGGTCGGTGTGTGAATGAGTGGGTGGCTGGGGGTGTGGGAGGTGGATGGATGAGTGGGTAATTCAGTGTGTAGATTGGTGGATGTGTGAATGTGTTAATGAGTAAGTTGGTGGTTGGTGAATGATTAGGTGGGTGGATGAGTGAGTGGGCGGGTCAGTGAGTTAGTTTAAATGAATGAGTGGTTGAATGGGTAATTAAATGAATGGGGAGGTGGATACATGATTTGGTGCTTGGGTGGGTCAGTGGGGTATTGAGCGAGCGGGGAATGAGAACGTGGGTGAGTGGATTTTTGAATGAGTGATTGGGTGAGTTCGTGAGTCTGTGTGTGAGGGGATAATTGAGTGGTTGGATGAGTGAATGGGTAAATTAGTGGATATTTGAGTGAGTGGTTGGATGGGTGAGTGGGTAAATGAGTGGGTGAATGAGTGGTGGGTGAATGGGGAGGTGATTGGGTGGGTGGGTGAGTGGGTGCGTGCGTGGGCGGGTGGGTGAGTGGATGGGTGAGTTAGTAAGTGGGCGAGTGGGTGGGTGAGTGGGTGGATACGCGGGATGGGTGAGTTAGTAGGTGGGTAAGTTAGTAGGTGGGTGAATGGATGGGTGAGTGGGTGGGTGAGCGAGTGAATGAGTCGGTGAATCATTGAATTAGTGGGTGAGTAGGTGACCGAGTGAGTACTTGAGTGGGTGAGTGGGTGGGTGAGTAGTTGAGTGGGTAATTGAATTAGTGGGTGAATACGTACGTGGGTAATTTGGTATTTGAATGATTGAGTGATTGGGTGAGTGGGTGGGTGAGGAGGTGCGTGAGTGGGTGAGTGAGAGTGGGTGGGTGGGTGAGTGGGTGGGTGGGTGAGTGGGTGGGTAAATTAGTGGTTGAATGAGTGGGTGGGTGAGTGGGTGGGAGAGTGAGTGGGAAAGTGAGTGGGAGAGTGAGTGGGAGAGTGAGTGAGTGAGTGGGTGAGTGGGTGGGAGGGTGAGTTGGTGGGTGAGTGGGTGGGTGTGTGGTAGGTGGATAAATGAGTGGGTAATTCAGTGTGTAGATTGGTGGATGTGTGAATGTGTTAATGAGTAAGTGGGTGGTTAAGTTGGTAAATGATTAGGTGGGTTGATGAGTGAGTGGGCGGGTCAGTGAGTTAGTTTGAATGAATGAGTGGTTGAATGAGTAATTCAATGAATAAGGAGGTGGATACATGATTTCGTGCTTGGGTGGGTCAGTGGGTAATTGAGCGAGTTGGGAACGAGAACGTGGGTGAGTGGAATTTTT